CTCACTTGGTAGCCCAGGTTGGCCTCGAACTCACAGAGATCCACCTGGCTCTGCCTCCCGAGTGCTGGGATTAAAGGCGTGCGCCACCACCGCCCGGCTATATTTCAACTTCTTAAAGACCATAACTCTCAAACCAGACTATTTTGTTACACAGAGCAAAACTATCCACTAAAATTGAAGGATTTTTTTAAACTTTCATAATAAAAATAGATCAAAGAAATTTATGACTACAAGGCCAGTTCAACAAAGGATACCAGAAAGAACACTGAAGTCTGAAGAGAAGGATAAACATACCCAATAGGTTAAAAGGATCAAGTAAACAATCCTCAGACACATAATCAAAAGAGAGATCTGATAAATAGATACCATAAAATGACAGGAAATTATACACATCCTTCAATAAATCTTAATATTAATGATCTAAATTCCCCAACAAAAAGATGTAGACTAACAGACTGGATTAGAAAACAAGATCCCTCTTTTTGCTGCCTCCAAGAAACACACTTAACCATCAAGCATAGACATTACCTGGTAAAAGGATCAAAAATGGTATTCCAAACATAATGAAACTAAGAAACAAGCAGGTGTAGTTATTTTGATATCTGAAAAAATCATCTTCAAACTGAAATTAATCCAGAGAGATAAGGCAAGTCACTTAAGTCACATTAAACAAAAAATATACCAACAGGATATTACAATTCTAAACACTGATATAATAAACATAAAAGTCACAAAAATAAACACTATCAAATCTAAGACCACAGAATGACATCAACACAATGATGACAGCTGATTTCAATATCCCATTATCTCCAAAAGACAGACCATCCAGAAAAAAATCCAGAGAAACTCTAGAGTTGAATGACATCATAAACCAGATGAACCTAGCAGATATGTACAAAACAGTCTACCCAAACAATATAGAATGCAATTCTTTGCTGTAGCCATCTTTGTTGAGGACACCACAAGAAAACTCACAGAATCAATTAACCTGGGCTCATAGGGGCTCACAGAGACTGAACCAACAACCAGGGAGGCTGCATGGGACTGACCTAGGCACTCTGCATATATGTTACAGATGTGTAGCTTGGTCTTCTTGTGGAACTCCTAACAGTGGGAACAGGGACTGTCTCTGACTCTTTACTAGCTTTTGGGACCCTACTCCTCATACTGGGTTGCCTTGCCCAGTCTTAATACATGGGGTGGTGCTTAATGTTACTGCAACTTGATATGCCATGTTGTGTTGATACTCATGGGAGACCTGCCCTTTCCTAAACTAAAACAAAGGAGAAGTGGATTGGAGGTGGGAACAGAGTGGAGGGAGGGAGGAGGGACTGGGAGGAGAGGAGGGAGAGGAAACTGAGCCAGGATGTAAAATAAATAAATACATTTATTTATTTAAAAAATTGCAACAATACATAATATCTACTCTCCCCCATTATATTTAATATAGTACTTGAAGCACTTATTAGTTAGACCAATCAGATAAATGGGGTAAAAATGGAAAGGAAGGAGGCAAAGTATTCTTATTTTCAGATAATATCATTCTATACATAAAATGTGCTAAAGACTCCACCAGAAAACCCCTACAAAGTGATGAACACTTTAGCAAAGTAGCAGGATATACCATTAAGACAAAAAATTGATAGCCTTTTTATGTAGAAATGAAAAATACATCAAAAAAGAAATCAGAGAAATAACATCATTTACAATACCCTCAAAAATAACTTGGGGTAAAACTAACAAGGATGAGATCAACTTGTATAATAAAAACACTAAGATACTGAAAAAATAAATTGGAGAAGATATCATACCATACCAGAAGGTGGGATGACTTTCCATGAACATGGATTAGTAGGAGTAATATTGTAATATTATCAAAATTACCAACATATCAGAAACAATTTATATGTATCTAGGGCTGACTGTTTGGGATAGGATAACTTACCAGGGACCTTATCCCTGGTAATTTCCCTCTTGCAGCACCCATTAATTGCCCATACTTCATCTAGAAGAGGGGCCTTGTGAGATTTGCCCCATGCATATTAGGATGTCAACTGGTGTCATCATGCTGATATTGTTAGGTAACTGAATTTTCAGATTTCATGAATATATATATATATATATATATATATATATATATATATATATATACATATTTATCAGGTGTCCTGAATGATATATATGATATATCATATATATATATATGATATCATATATATCCTATGATATATATGAATATATATATATATATATATATTTATCAGGTGCCCTGAATATATATATTTATCAGGTATCCTGGCCCTCTGGCTCTTACAATATTTCTGCTCCTGTTGGGGAATATTATTTTAAGGTGTGTTACTTTTGTTTATGTTGCATTTGTTTAACTCTGTGAAACTGTGTTACTTTGCCTATCTAAAACACATGACGGTCTAATAAAGAGCTGAATGGTCAATAGCAAGGCAGGAAAAAGGAGGGATGGGGCTGACAGGCAGAAAGAATATGTTGAAGGAGAAATCTGGAAGAGACAAGAAGTAGGCAGAGAAGGAGGAGGACACCAGGGGGCAGCCACCCAGCTATACAGCAAGCCACAGAGAAAGATTTACAGAAATAAGTGAATGGAAAAAGCCCAGAGGCAAAAGGTATATGGGATAATTTAAGTTAAGAAAAGCTGGCTAGAAACAAGCCAAGCTAGGGCTGGGCATTCATAATTATGAATAAGCCTCTGTGTGTGATTTATTTGGAAGCTGGGTGGTAGACCCCCCCCCCAAAGAGAAAAAGAGTCAAAGCAAACAACATGATCCTTCTGTAATGTTCTCTGAGCCTTAGCTGTAGAGATTATGTCATAGATGTATGAATTTGATGATGGGACTTTCATGATCACTTATTCTTTGTATTTTCACCAATTCTGTATTTCTGTAATAGTCTCCATCTGTTTTCTCCAAAATAAATCTCCTTTGATGAGGAATGAGTGTAGCTAAAAGTTTTCCTGTGTTCTGCTTGGTCCATGGTCAGAACAAATCTGGTGGTACACATGGCTCCCAGAGCCAGAGCTGGGGTTAAATGTACCACCACCATGTTGAAAAGCTGAGGTGGGAGGAGAAAGGGCTGAGTCAGGAGATGCCAGCCCACCGTCCAGGAAACAGCATGTAAGGGCACACAGGTAAAACCACGGGACCTGTGGTGAAATATAGATTAATAGAAATGGGTTAATTTAAGATATAAGAGCTAGTTAGCAAGAGACC